TTTTTTTTTTTTTTTTTGCGCTTTTTATGGTCTAATCTGGCAATTAATTGAAAGAGTTATAAAATTTTTCTCAATTTTTAAAGTAACAGTTAACATTTGATAATTTTTAGCTAAATTTTAAAAAAAAGTTTTCTCCTGAGATGTCATTAAAATAAGGTTTGCTATTTAAAGTACATTTGATTTTTCATTCAAAAATAATTTACCGGTTGTTTCTGAGCCGCGTAGGCTATTAAAATTTTATTGAAAGTATCTGTTAAAAATACTGCGAATTTATAGACTTATCTTTAGTGCCATCTTTTGTATATCCAAGTTGTGAAACACCGACAACAAAACTGGAAAAAAATATCTCAAAACAATTTGAAGTGAAATACAATGTACAAATTCTGCCGATCAAAAAACCGTGAAACTCTACGGGTTACTTTTCGAATAATTGGTTAAATATAAAACTTTTTATAGTTAAAATAATCGAACTGTTTCCTACTAAAAAATATTTTTTTGGTATTCGCTTAATTACAAATGATTTATTAAACAAATCTAAAAGATGACAAATTAAAGACGATTTTTGGAGCTTTAGTAGTGTCCGTAGATCACCCGCTCTCTTTTTCAATTGGCTCATCTAAATTATTAAAAAAAAAAACTTTTAATAAGAAAAAGAATAGTTAAGAAATGTCAAGAAATAAGTCACCCATTTTAATTTATAGAATTTTATAGAAAATTTTATTGTTTTTCAAACTTATTTAGCAAGGTATTTTTTATTTAAAATTTTTGATCATTACTGCAGCAGATAACTAATTAAAAACTTATTAAAAGATTTAAAAAAAAGACTGTAAATTAAAAAGGAGACTATAAGAATTAAGCTATAAATTAACTGAGAACAAATTGACGTACAAAATGATTTGCTGTCAGTTCTGTTCTTCATGTCTTTTTTTAGTCAAAAATCACTAAATCTTTTTAAGAGAGCTTTTTTACCTTTTCCTTACTTTTTTTTAGAAGAAATTATTGAATTTTGAAGAGTGAAAGATGTTTGAACATACAATGGGTGGCTACTTAATTCAGTGATTCCCTGTAACAAAAAAAAACAGTCATGAAGAACAATTTGACCTATCATTAACATAATCAGATTTGTCATATAAATCGCTGTCTTTTCATCTCTAATGGTTTTGACTTTGATAGTATACATACAAAATGTATAAGCATATGGTTCTTTCTAGACGCTACTGCAACAATGTAGGACAAAATTTCAAGCAAAAAAGTTTATCAAAAGATTCAAAAAGTTTTAAAGGTTTTTATTTAAAATTATACTAATAATGTTAAAAACTATTAACCAAGTCTTGTAAGACCTTCTTAAGTTTTAAAACGCGGTACCTTAGTGATGTTTTATTATTTTTTTATATGATATTATTTTTTCTACTGTTTCTTAGCTATTAGCTGTCTTAAAATAATTTCAACTAAAATTAAGGTGTAGAGTTTCATTTCTTGAGCTATTTGTTTTATAAAAATCAAATAGCTTTGACTTTCGCATTATAGTTGAAAGTTAATTATACTAAATGAAGAAAAAAATCAAACAAAAAAACAAGAACTTTGAAATGCTAGTCAAAAATCACTTTTTAAGTTCATATTTGTTTCGGTTATAAGTTAGTCTTTACAGAGTGTAGCGTGCTAGCAAACTTTAAAGCCTACTCCAGTAAAGGCCACTTAGTATCAATTCAGCAGTTTAGTTTCAGGAAGTGCAAGGGTATTATTCACTCTGACAAATACATTGTTTAAACATCTGTTATCTGTCTTTAGATAGTGGTAAACCATTTCTGTTGTTCATTCAAATGTTGCCAAGGTTTAAAACTCTACTCTTTAAATTGACTCGTCAAAAATCTGCCACAAGTTATCTTAACATCAATGCCAATTGTCCAGGTGTTTTAAGTCACTAGTTTATAAATGTTTAAAGGTGATTAGCAGTAGTTTGAAATACAGTTAGTAATCTTGCACTAGAATACTGTTTTTGAATTATATGTTACTACTCAAAGCTTTTATTTTTCAAATGCTTATAGTTGCTAAACGCTGTTCAATTTATAAATTTATCAACAATTTTTTAGTTGACGTATATCTATAAATTATAGTCAATTGCTAAAGTGTTTGCTAAAGCCGGTTTTGACTTTGATGATATTACGTATTGAACGTAAGTTAGGCTGTTGAATTTTTCCTTTATTAAATGTTAAAGTTCATTTGTAGGATTAGCAAAAAACTTACTGTCGCAAGCTTTTCCTAAACCTTATATATCTTATGTCTACAACAATGAAGAATAGGGTGTTATGATCGACGGAACCTTAACACTTCACCTTCTCAACGACAATACACCTGACGAGCTCAAACAATAATTTATATATTCTGTGTATTTGTAGTTACGAATATGTAGGTTTCGTTTCGGCTATACAAATGTTCTTTACTGATTACTGTTTCTTGTATCAGTATTATCTCTCAATTTCAAAGTGCAGCAGAGGTTTTCCGAGATCTATTCTAAAGGTACATCCAGAATAAAATTTTAGATTTTTGAGTTTATGTAGTAAGTTTAAGCAGTCAATTTAATTTAGAGTATATCTAGAAGTGTTGTATAAAATTATTCGCTGTATCGTTAAGAACTTTGAAATTTTTTGTAAAACTTTGTCTTTCCTGAAAAAACACAACATACAGATTCCGATAGTAATTGCAGAAAACTGTTGATAGAGAAGCTTATTTTAGTTTTTAAATTAAATAATAGTGAAAAAATTGTTTAAAACAGCTATGACTTTGACTCGGTTTTTTTTTATTTACAAAAATTTCTATTGCTTGATTAGCATGTTCTTAATGTTAAGAAAATGCTTTTTTTCTGTTGTTTTGGTTTAATTATTTGGTTGCTTATCACTGAGCTGTTATCAATTGTCGATAATTTACTGTTGTTATCTGATCTATTTTCTTAAAACAAATCGTTTGTTATGTTGCCTTGTTATAGGTTTACGGTTTTCACTTTCAATAAAAAAATTGAAAAAGAAACTGGCTGGAACAAGTATCTGTCGACATCCAAAGTAATTTCACTAAAAAAACCCTAATGCTCAAAAAATAAATTTATTTTTAAATAGTTTATTTTACAAAGAAAATTTTGCAATTAGTAACAGTTTCGGACAATAGTAGCTATAACATCTATTGTAAGAACTTTATGACTTTATGCACAAAAGACACTGTTAAAATTTATTGACTATAGGTAAATATCGTGCAAACATTTCTTTAAACCGTTGTTAGAAAAGTGTCCTGTTTTACAAGTATTCTTTGATCAACTTGGTAGTGAAGCAGATGAAAAGAAAGAAGAAAATAAGACAACAATAAGCTGTAAATTTCAACTTGGAAAGGGGTTGTTGTACAGCGACATAATTGATGATTAAGATGTTGAAAGTTGCTGACTAGTTATCGCTCAAACCCCATCTGTTGTCATGTATTCCTTGGTTGTGCTTTTCAATCTCCTCATCTCATTGGTCTATGGATGTGTTTATAATAACAAAACTTACAAACCTGGAGACAAATGGGTAAGCTGTTTCAAAATTTTTTTTTAAACATTCCCAATTTAGTCGGGAAACTACCTGTACGCATTTTTATGTCTTGCCGTTTTTTTAACCGACTCTTATCAACGTTTTTTTTTGTCGTTTTTTAGTCAATTATGCCTCGAGAAGTAGCGAGATAATACTGTTACAAATGTTTTAAAATCAGAAAACATTCTTTCTGTTATATAATTTATCACTTGTAATAAATTTATTTGCAAAAACTGAGCTCCAAGAATGCTGCTGACAAATTCAAAAGATTTGTCCTAAAAATTTCTTTTCCAGTCGTATTTAAGCAACATCAAAAATGTTACATGTTTATCCTATCCAGATTAAACGTCAAAATTTTAGACCGTTTACCTTGCAGATAAAAATTAGATGTAATATGAAAAAAAATATTAATTCAAAGCTAATAGCTTCTAAAACCAAGCTGTCAAGGTTATTCTTCATGGTTAATAAGAATCAGAAATACTAAAGATGTTAGACCATTGAAGAGCTTCAGCAGAACTATGGTAGTGCCTTTTACAGTACGAAGCGACTCAGCATACTTTGTTGTTTTTCACCGCTACAATAAACTTAGTATTCAAACTGCCAAAACCTTTTCATTTTTTAATAGAACTTAAAAAAAAAAGATTTAGTCTAAAAAATAAATAAGGAAGTCATTTACAGCTAAATTATAAAAAAACAAAAATTAAAATAAATAATTTTACTCAGAAATACTCTGTTTCAGTCTCAGTTCAATTACTAAATAATAGGTATTTTATTCCATTCCAGGTCAATACTAAATTATGCAGAGTATCACAAGGTTTTGAACTAACTGAGCAGTACAATTTGAGTTTGCCATTTGAAAAAACCAGCTGATAAGTATTTTCTAGGTGATTGATAAGAAGTTCCTGATGCAGTGTACAGAGCAACCATGTGGATCATTAGTAAAAAAACTAATTGGTTGCCGACTTCCATCAGGAATTTGGATTCCTTGGAATACCAGCAAAAATTTTGGTGCTGGTACATGGAGTTGCAGTATTGAAAATAACAGAATTTTTTCCATAGAATTGGTTGCTTTTTCATACTGGAATCCAAGCGGTAAAATATTACTAAAACCTATAAATTTGATTATTAAATTTAGTAACTTATAATGTGTCTACAAAGCAATGAAGTGGTAAAATCATTTCAGTCAAACTTTAAGTTCAGTGAAGAAATAAATGCAAAATACCGCAAAAAATTTTTTTACATAAAAAAAGTGTCTTTTAAAAATATACAACAATTTTATTCTCTGTCATTGGAAATATATCTGCTTCCCTCTGTAAAAGTAAATTCCTAAACAAAAGCAACATTATATGACTATTTCAGCTCCAAATTTGTCAAGTTGGAGGTGTCTATGCAATAACAATTCAGTAACGCATTTAAGTAACTATTACAACTTTAATTGTTCTGAGCTTTTATCTTTAAAATAAAATAGCCCTTTTTTTCTTCTCTGAATATTTAGTGATTTTATGCAGTATTAATTCTGTAGCTCGAGTTAGCCAAAATGTATGGACAAACGATGATTTTGGACAACACGGAAGAGATTTGCCACCGTACTGTTATACCGCTGACTACAGTACAATTCCACTAAATTCTCAAATGTTAATCAATGGTGAAAATGTCAGGTTAGTGAACACTGACCATTTTTTTAATCTGACCAAAATAAGAATGTTATTAAAATAAGCAAAAAAGAAAAAGCTTGTTGAAAAGGAACTATTCTTTTTTATATTTTAGCCTATATGAACACTTATGCAAACCACATAACTTTTCTACTCATTCTTTTCCAACAACTTTTTAAATTGCATTCTTATTTGAAATTATTTGTATTTTATTTCAAACACAAAAAAGCTGTAGTTTATAAATTGGAAAACTGATAACTCTTTCAAAGACTATAGGATTTGCAAGTTTTTTCAAATTATTTTTGATCTGAAACTACAACTGAATTTAAAAGCTGACTCATTCGCGAGACAGACCCTTTTTTTTTTTTTTTGCAAATAACTTCCTTCTGATTTGTCAAATTAGAACTTCGACGAAGTAAACCAAATGCTTATTAAATATTTAATCACGTAAATAAAATGTTTAACAGGTGTAAGCATCTCGGTGGCCTTAAGGTAGTATTATTCAGAAATAACCTGAGAATGTGTGTGGATTCGCTCGGTTTTAGCCACAGTATTGGTAAATTTTTTTCTGCTATCACATCCCATCTTAAAAATAAATTTCCATATGTTATTTTCGTTAATAAGGATGGATGATAAACGACCAAATTTTCATTTCCTTCTTTTTTTTTTCTTCGTAGTATAAAAGAACTCACTGTAATACCCAAAATAAAAAAATTCCAGTGGATTTCATATTCCGAACAGCCGAGATCACGACCTCCAAACCAGCAATGTTGAAAGTCTGGGTAGACAAGGTTAAATGCTACTCTTTCTAACTGTATTTAGGTTCACACTGGACATCTGGAGGTAGATTCAACAAAACCTGTACACCTGCTGGTGTTATAGCTTATGAAAATTGTCTTACAGTTGACGGACGACAAATCCCAATGAATGCTACAGTCACTGTTGGCCGAGTTACCTATCTGTCCGTAATACATAATCCTTTCAATGTTGAAATAGCATTTCCAATTCTAGGAAAAATCAGACAAAAAATTTATCAACTAATGTTTGACAAACCAAACTCAAACCAACTTCTCCCTCCACTTTTTGCTTTCTAAAAACAAAGATTTTGTTGCTAATTCTTACTGTTAGCAGTTAAACTGCAAGTCCGAAGTAACCGACAAAATTTTTTAAAATTATTATCTGACTGGATTTCAAAAACTACTTGATAAAATACAATTGGCACTTAAATAATTGCAGCCTACTGACTTTTTTTTTTACAGCGCAAACTGATTTTGCATAAGTGTTGTTGATAAGAAAACTTCCATTCAGATGCACATTGCGAGATGACGGTGTGGGCTATCTTGAGGAAAAAGTTGCATTAGAATGCGAAGATGACTATGGCAACGATCTTCATACTGGTTGGCAACAAGTGCCTTAATCAACAATATTCACTGTTGAAATTACATTAAACAGCTGTCGAAAAATCTTCTTATTGTTATAGGGAGTCACTGGATTGAAGGGCAACATTTTAACATAACCTGCAAAGACTCTGGAATTTTTGAAGTTTTAAACTGCATTACGCCCTTTGGACTACAGCTGCCGATAGACGGCGAAGTGACCATAAATGATACATATTACTCGTGAGTCATATCATTCCAATTAAAATTTTATTTTCTTCTATAACGATATCCTCAAGTCCTTAAATTTTTATACTTTCTCACGACAAAAAAAACAGGAATTACTAGGAGTGTTGAGACACTGACAAGACTAAGCTGCAAAAATTATGCTGCAGCTTTCTTTTGAAGTAAAAGACAAGAAGAAAAGCACTAAAGAGCTTGATGAGATAAAAAAATCACAAACACTTCTTATTCTCATTTAAGCCAATTGTTCAGATGCAAGCAAGACAAAAGTAGGAACGTTCAGTATTATAGCAGATTTTCTGGCATACTTCCAGTCGAAACTGATATAAAGTGCTATGATTCTTTAGGAACGGAACATTCGCCTGGTCAGTGATAATTCCAGCGATTTGTTTTACTCTAATCGTCTGCAGTGCTCCCTAATGTTGTACAATAAAACTATTTCAGGCACATACTGGTTGGAGGGCAAAAATGTTAATAAAACGTGTAGCTTTAGCGGTGAAGTTAGAGTGGAAAATTGCTTGACCGATGAAGGTGTCCAAGTTGCTGCAGATGGAACTGTTTCTGGTGGAGTCGTCAAGTTTGCGTAAATTTTATTCTATATTAGAAAAGCTTGGGCAGACCAGAACTTCCACGAACAGCGACTCGTTTCAAATATATTTACTACCAAAGCAGCTTTTTCTGCCTAAAAACTTATGACAACTTACGAAGCAAAGAGAAATTTTGAAATACTATAGTTCACTTTCCAGGTGTCTTCGACTAGACGACTGCCACATGAAAATAGTCAGACTTCCAGATCTGAGTTCAACGGCTAATACAGTGTCAACCTTAGAAAACGTCTGATTACCCATCATTACATAATCTAGCAATTAACTATTTTGTAACGGGAAGAAATTATAGCCGATAAATAATTTAAAAAAAAAAAAAGAAAGAAAACAATAACTCAGTCCAGCAACACCTTAGAACATTAAATATAAGCTATAACTTCTAAATTAACAGCGTTCAGAACTTGTAACAGCAACACTAATTAAAAAACAGATAATGAAAAAAATTTTAATTTTTAACTGAGCAGACTGATTCAAAACGTCGAGAAAAGCTATGATTTTCTCTAATCAACGCGGAGATCAAGTAAAATTCAAGAACACTCAGATGACAATAAATATTTTGATCTTTTGCTGCACCATAAGATTGTCCTTCGTTTTTCTTTTTTTTTCTTTCAATAACTACCATCCTCCGCGTCAAAACCTACCACCTGAGTTGACGAATACAGTAGTTATAACTTGTCGCAGAAGAATAAAAAATTAAGTTAAACCATGTCTACTGAATAATTTTTATATCTGTTGTAATAACGCTTTATCGAATGTTTATTAGACTAAAAATTGAGTGTCGATTACAACTATTCAAATTTTTCTACCTTAGATATTTTACTATATTGTTGAAATAAGAAACAAGAAGTTCTACTGTCAACGTATAATATTACAATAATTCACCTTAAAATAAAGAGAAAAAAAGGGGAGTAACGGAACCTCTTGCTCTACCTATGAAACGAGTGGAAACTTCCCCTCGGCATTCAGGAAACAACACCAATCAGCTTCCTCCATTAACCGTTCTGCTCTTTGAAACAATAACTGTTTTATGACTTTTTCAGTGGTCAGAAAAGCCTATCGAAATGGAAAATAAAAGTTTTGCCAAATAGGCTTCCTACCTGCATTTACTTAATTATCATACAGTAACACTAAGCAGTACTATCTTCATCGTCTGCTCAAAGCAATAAAAAGATGTGGGATTGATACACACAGCAATTCGTCTAAATTTGTGTATGTCTAAACCAAAATGTGAATGTAAAAGAGTGAAAAAACAATCGACAGTGGTTCGCAGAAAGTGAAGGAACGTGCCAAAAACGAAATATTATCTTGTTGGGTAAGGCATTTTACATGAAGATCAACAGGTCACATGTTCAAGCGACCCAGTAAAAGTTGGAAGCCAAGAAAATTCTGTATGGGATATTGAACTTAAAAGTTGTGAACGACAAAGCATAAGACTTAAAAATGCCCTAGCCGAGATTGGCTGGGATGGAGGAAGCCGAAATGAAAGAAAAAATTGTCTAATGATGAACAACGCACCTGTAAAATATGTGCAAGACATTAAATTTTCTGCGCATCTAATCAGTTTATTCCAAAACAAGCAAAACGGCTACATAAACGTTTCATTAATCTGAAAACTGTTTTTTCTTTT